ACCCAAGGATTGGATACTGGCCTGTTGTGGCTCGGTAGGGGCCTTTGGAGCTGCTATCAGACTCTGACACAGAAACCTCCTGTGAGTGGTTTCAGGATGCTCACAGGAGAAGATAACAAGCAGCTGTGGCTCGTTAAGGATCTCCTCCTGCGGATGAAAGACTGATGGTGCCACACCCTAGTTGCAGAAGTCAACGTTCGTTCGTTTGTTCATTCTGTTCCTGTTCTAATCTAGGTTCCCAGTTCGTATTCATGATTCGGAGAAACCACTTGGACAAGTGATTTGTTTTATATAAACCTGGTTTGCTGTAAGAGTTTGTTTTTGCATTTGCTGTTTAACTTTTTGCCAGAGAATTTATCTATGTTTATTTTGGGCTTGTAGCCAGCTTGAGCCAGGACTGATAAAGACATCCCTTTGCAAGCTGTGTGTGGCTGTCGTTTCTGAACGAGCAAAGAGGGGGGTCAGAACACATGGTATCAGGTGATCATGCCAGCAGTTTCATATAGATGTTAAAAATCAGAGAGGATACATCTGGCCACCCACAAGGGAGTGGCCATGGGCTCACTCCCTATCAATACTAACTGAGACTGGCCTTGGAGAAAGGAGCCAAACCAGTGCAATATTAATAACAAGAACCTGCCTGCCTAAATGAGCTTTCCCATTCCCTCGCCTTATCTTTGTGAGAACTAAGGAGGCATTTACTCAGATTACATCCCTGTACTGGACTCAAGCCTCTTTTATCTGACTGTCGCCTTGCTAGTAGTTCTTCCTTCTGTTTCTCAAGGCCATTCCTTCTTCCTCCTACGTGGTGCCACTGTGAAGCAATGTGATCATAGGAACAGATCCATTATTTGTACCAGTAAGAACCACAGCCACTGATTTCTTGATTATATACAAGTAGCTGTGGCACATAATGAATAGCATTGTGCTAGGCTTTTAAGATAATTTCTATAAGAATCAAGAATTGAAAATTGAAAATTTACCTTGGTGTCCTCTTCCCTGATTGCACACTCTCATTGTCTGCTGTGTTTAATGATGCAAGAGAAAGGCTCGATACTGAGAAAAAGAAATAAAAAAAACAACAACATTGACACAGCAGGTTATAAGCATTTACGAACAAGTCCCAAAACTACAAATCTTGCAGCATCATGGAAGTTTGCCCTTACGAAGAACCACAGAGGCCCTCCAAAATTCGTTCTGAACAATGCCGGCTAAAATGGAGCTTCTGAGGGGCAGATTGCTCAGAAGCTCCATTTTATTTTATTTATTTATTTATTTATTATTAAAATTTATATGCCGCCCAATCCCGAAGGGGCCGGNTGCATCGCGTGTGTGCACGAGGACGCCGCTGGCCCCGTTCCAACCGAACCGGTTGGAACGGGGCGAGAAACCCACCCCTGGAGCACCAGAAACCGGAAGAGCAGCTCCCTGGCACACATGCATGCTGGCCAGCTGAGCTTCGCGCACACATTCACACCAGAAAACGGAAGACCAGGTGACCGGCGCACATGCACACACCAGAAACTGGAAGCTCAGCTTCCCGGTGCACCCATGCACGGAAAGGAACTGTTCTGGTTTCTGGCGCTCCCCCGTGTGCGTACTCCGGTTTCGGCACTGAGTTCGCCAACACTGATATAGTCTCTACTTAATCCCAAACCTTTATACAGCAGCTAAGTTGATGACGTAACTCGGATACGTAGTGTAATGGCCATAGTCCAAATCCCCACTCTCACTCAAAGATCTAGTTATTATTATTTTCAGTTTACAAAACCCAGCAGTGTTCTCTCTCTTACACACACACACTCACATACACGCCGAATTCCACTCACACCCCGAAATTAATTTATTTTTAAAATAAAAGTATAATGTTAAAGTCTTGGGGAGGGGCAAAAACAGCATTAACCATTATACTGTGTATCTGCCACAGACATTCTATTTGCCATATTTTTCGGACTATAAGACGCACCTGGCTTTTGAGGAGGAAAACAAGAAAAAAACTTCTGCCTCTGCCTCCCAGCAATTTGCCTCCTTGCACCAAACAGCAAACAGCCTGGTCAGCTTCAGCACAGCCTGGTTTAGCACGAGCAGCTGATTGGTGGTTGGATCTGCCTCCTGGAATACCGCCTATCAGCTGT